AGATCAGCAGCCCACCACCGAAGCAGGCCCTACGAATCAAGAAGGGAAAATACAACACCCATAACAGCCAGGGCATTCAACGGCCAACACAGCCCACGGCTACCCAGGTAGCACTCGCATCGGCCTTTTCAAAGGGCCACGCATTATGCAAAGGAAGGTTTCACAACGGTCACAACACCCCAAAGGGAATGGACATAACGGCCATGAGGCCCTTGCACTAGACCCTTGATGATAACCCTTTGAAAGCGACCTGCGTCCAAGGGTTCTCCCACAGGGTTACCTTGGTCAGGAAATCGCCAAAGGGTTGGATTCAAGGGCAGTATGAGGACCACACTTCGGCCTAGGTCTTAATCTACTCCTTCACCCCTCACCCTCTTCGGCCTGAAGCAGTGGGGGACTGGGGGACTACATCGGCCTCAAGAATAAAAGGCAAAACCAAAAGAAATCCAAGAATACACCAAGTCCACAACTACAACATCAGACACGCACCACAACGTCCACGACATCATGGTGCACCATCGGCCACAACAAAGCTTGAGATCACAGGACACTTATCGGCTTTGAAACCACATCACTCAAGCCATGAACCAAGAGAAAGGTCAACATACCTGAATCACTGTCGGCCATGTACCACAACGGCCCCGAGGTCCTCACAACTTCCTCTTCGGCCAGACAGTGGTATCAACCCCAAAGCCTTGGGCAAGATGACGCCTGGTCGTCCAATAACACAAGGCATCATCAACGACGGCCAGAAAGAATGCAGAGTGCCCTCATCGGCCTCACCAGCCCAAGAGGGAAACTTTTTCTAGTCAACAATCAAGGACAGGTACTACCTTCATCGGCCACCCATGCCAGAACGCACATCATCCAACAAACAAAGCGCACCAAAGGAACAAGGGCTTCCCCCGACCGCATCAGGGACAGGCAACGGCCAAACTCAAAACACAGGGCTATCAAGCGCCGCGACAGGGAACGGCCAACGTGATCCCACATCGGCCAAGGAGCGTCAAGCACAGAAATCTACTCTCCTGCACTTCGTCTACATCTCAGCTTAGAGAGTGGGGGACTCCTGATGGAGTATATGGGTCTAGGCCCCAAGACCCACATACTCAGAACAGAAAGCACAGTCACTACACGGTGCCCTCGTCGGCCGGAAGACCCTCGTCGGCCGAAGAGGGTCCGATCTAGAATATGATCTTGAGGCCAAGGAACCAGGGTGTCCTCGTCGGCCGTGCCCGCGTCGGCCGTGCCCTCGTCGGCCACGGGAGACCCACAGAACCGGATTTTACACTTACTCATTTGTACAGCCCACTAGTGGCTTTGTATTCGGCCCAGTAGCGGTCCAGTTGTAAATGGGCCTCCCAAGCCCAAGGCTTGGGAGCCCAGCCCGTATTTTCCCTATAAATACTTCCTCTGGAGGTAGTTATCAGGGTTACAAAATCATTCTATTGAAGCATATTATTGCACTTCTCTCTCTAGCTCTCGCTTCTCTCTAGACAATTACTCTATCAATTATCTTCATGCACTTCGGGATCCTTCTCATGAGCATGACTTGACTCACCTTTCAAGCTTTCTACTTTGCTGTTCAGATCATCTTCTGATCTTGAGCTTGCGTGATTATACTCATTCCCTCGATGACCTTAGTTAGATGGGCGATTTGTTCTTCCATAGACGTGGTGCTCGTTGTCATAGTGGGTATCACGGTGTAGACATTTGACCACTGCGGAGTTGTTCTTTGTGGAGAAGTTGACGGAGAAGTAAAGTCTGAACCAGATGATGAGCTTTCAACACCGCTTGTCCATTTCGGGGAAGTAACTTCACGTATGGATGAAGAAAGCTTCCGGGCCATCTCTTGCGCAATTTGAAATCCATCCATCGCACCGGGAGTAGTTCCCGAAGATGAATGTGCAGCTAGGATTCTTGATCGGCTCCTAGTGATGGGGCCTTGCATGTTTTGATTCGAGCTTGATGATGCTCGAGAATTCAAAGTGAACACGGGTTTGCTTGATGCCATGGATTCGTTTTCAAAAGTGAAGAGATGAGAGTTAGAGATGTCTCACCGGGCATGCCAAAAATTTGTAAAACAAATTTTAAGTATTTACTTAAAATTGATCGCAAATAATAATATGTGAAAATATTGGGTACAATCTCTAAATATGAATCCTCTGATTCTTCACTTGCAATTTGAAATAAATATAATTAAAGAATTTAATTCAAAATTAAATCTTTAATCCTTCAAACATTCGAACGTTCTTCAGATCTTCAAATCTTTGTTCTTGAGATCTTCGAATCTTCGTTCGTCGGGTCTTCAAATCTTCTTGAATAAAAAATTCAACTTGAAGGGCCTCCGGTTTTCAAGCGGCTTGATCTTCAACAAAAGGACCGTTTTATGGCTTGATCTTTTGTTTAAGGGCCTCCCGGGATATATGGCTTGATCTTCAACTGAATTTCAATTCAATCTTCATATGAATACCTTCAAATCTTCAAAGATTCGTTCTTCATATCTTCAAATCTTCAAAGTCTTGTTCTTCATATTTTCGAATCTTCAAGCTTCGTTCTTCAGATCTTCGAACGTTCTTCAACTTTTGGATTTATTTTATTAAGAATCGACGAAATCACGAAGGATTATTCGTATATTCTTAATAAAATTCGTGGCTTGATCTATTCCTCTTCTTTAGAATCGTTCAGAGCCTTTGGGGAGTTCTTGAGAGCTTTTCTGCAGCGTTTCTTCGTCTGAAAATTCTCTCCCCTCTTTCTCTCAATTGAGACCCTTATTTATAGGTGTGGAGGGAGTGAAAATATGCTTTAGGGTTTGGAAATTCATCCATACCACTTGTTCGATGTATCTGGACAACTTTTTTAACAAGGTTCAGAGCTATTTTCCATGCATACAGATGAATTTCTTAGCCATATTCATTGTCCTTTTCATAAGTTGGATCATGCCTCTTATTTATTGGGCTTAAAATAAAGAAATTAATAGGACTGATCCATTCTTTTAATATCTTATAAGGCCTAACAACCATCACGAGCAGCCCAATAGAATTTTAAATTGGCCAGTAATTTTACATGTCCACAATGATGACAGACAACCAACCGTATTGAGCACACAATAGGTTGCTCCGGCGCACTGGAACAAAGGGTAGAACTGAGTAAGTTTTATCAGAACTTTGGCAGAGTTTTTCTTTTGAGAGCACAGTGTAGCGAGTAATTTTATGTGCTCAGTGTTTTTTTTATGCTTTTCAAAAGGTTCTGCCAAGCATATATAGGAGAGAAGGATCTTTTGTATTAATTATGCACTAAAGACACATTTATTGTGTTCTAATGTCGTGGACGTTTAAGGCCATTAACCACGTAATTAAACCATGCTTTAATCACGTTTGATAGTTTCTAAACGTTAGCCAACATTCAAAACACTTGCAGTTCGAATGAGAACCATCCATTAACCAGGCGTAGTCCTACGTACCTTCAGAAAATTTCCAATTTCTCCATTTTTTTGTCTCGAAAGGCAAATCACCAAAATCAGTGGGGCAAATGCCAGAGAAGATTTTGCGTTTTGAGTGTACCACATATCAAATTGAAACCCTTAAAAAGAAGAATCTGAAACCACTTTGACCTGACCCAAACCAGAGGTGGACCCCACTCCAAATACTGCCCGAAAATGGCCGTTTGATGCAATTTTAACACAATTTTTCAACAAAATCACCAGGTCCTTGTATTATTAATGAGAATTATTAAACTCTCATTAATATAAATATATCTGCCAGGGCACCTTAGAGAGTATCATGTTCCATTATTCTCACATGGTATCAAGAACGCAATAAAAATCAATTTTTTTTCCTTCTCTCTACCCCACGGCGTTACACGGCAAAAACCTATTACCGCCGCCGCCTTAGTTACGCACGCCGCTGCCGGAGCGCACGATGACTACCCTTCCCATCAGTTCCGTCGCATCTCCCCAGGCGCTGTCGTCCTCATTGTCCAGCTCCTTCAGTCAGCGCCGCAGCTCAGCCAGTGATCTCCTCCGTCTTTACATCACCGAGCCGCCATCCATTGCCGTATTCCCTGTTTCAAAATTTACCACCGACGTTTCCTTGGTCTGCTCCAGTTCCGGTTCAGCATGTATCTATCGACCCACCTCCCTTCCCGGCTCCTACCTTTGCTGGTCCAACGTTTTTTGGGTCCTCGGCATCTCCTCCAATATGCCGCCTCTTCGGACACCTGCTGGCACCTCTTCCGGATCGCAATTGGCAGACCTCGCCCAAACAATTTCCCATGTGGCGACCAATGTCACGAATATTGTGACTACCAAGCTTCTAGCAGTGGAAGATTATACTACCTGGAGAATACAATTTGAGTCGTTTCTAGTTTCTCAGGGACTCCTTCGTATGGTCGATGTCTCTATTCAGGTACCCAATGCTTATTCCATAGATATACTTAGCCGTCAAATTCCCAATCCCGAATTTTCTACTTGGCTACGCATTGATCAAACACCCCGTTCATGGTTATTTGCTACTCTTTCGCGGGATGTTTTGATTGATTTTAGGGATTTAAAACATTCCTGTGAGATTTGAGAACGGTTAGAGTCTCGATTTATGTCTGCCAGTTTAGCCAGATCTATGGAATTAAAGCGGTTATTGTCCCAACTTAAAAAGAAACCTGATTAGTCAATGGACAGTTATTTAAGGGAAATTAAAATTTTGGTGGATGATCTTGCTACAATCAATTGTCCGGTTCTACCTCGGGAAGTGCTGAAAACTACTATTATGGGTTTAGGACCCGAATATGAATCTTTATTCACCACTGTTTCATTATTTCCCCAAAATTTCCCTTTTGAGACCCTTCGCAACCATCTTCTGGAACAAGAACAGTGGGTTCTTTATTTACGCTCCCAGGAACCTTCCTCCATTCATCAGGCCTTTGGTGCGCTGACTCCACCATCTGGACAACCGCACGCACAACAGGGAGCACCACAACAGCCAGCGTATTCCGCAGGTGGACCGCAGCAGCCCTGCCAACCGGGCCAGCAGCAGCGCGGCAGAGGCCGCGGGCAAAGCAGAGGGCGCGGTGGCCGAGGGCGTGGACGCGGACAACATCCGGCACAGTACGGTCAACAGGGGTACTGGTATCCACCGCAGGGTCAGTCCATTTATCACCTGGGAGGGGGTGTTCAACCAGTTTCTCATGCAGGGGGTGAGACATCTTCGGGTACTGTTATTTGTAATTCTGCTATGTCAAATTTCAATATTAATGCCTTACTTGTTTGTGCTACTAACATGGGTTATGCAGGCTTACCATCAGACGGGGGTATTCTTGGTTCTGTTCCACATCCAGTTGTGTGTCAAATTTGTTTTTCTGCAGGTCATTCTGCTATCACATGTCCCTCTCGTTTCACACAGCCCTCTGCTCCTGCTTTGTTGACTACTCCTGGAGAAACTAATCCCGCTTTATGGTATCCTGATTCAGGAGCTTCTGCTCACATGACTGCATCTGAATGTAATTTAATTAATAAATCTCCTTACAATGGCTATAATTCTGTTAGTGTTGCTAATGGTGCCCATCTTTCCATATGTCATGTTGGTGATGTTACCTTACCTTCTTCTGGTCGTCCTCTCACGTTAAAATCTGTTTATCATGTGCCTCAATTAAAATACAATTTAATTTCCATTCAAAGGCTTTGTGCGGATAATAACTATACTGTTGTTTTTGATAAAAATTCTTTTTTGATTAAGGACAAAGCCTCGGGGGCGATACTTCTGCGAGCTACCAGTGGTGGGCCACTTTATCCTATCAGCGTGCCGTCTTCTCCATCATTAGTTTTAGCTTCCGTTTTAGCTTCTGGTCCTGTGTGGCACCGTAGACTAGGTAACTGTGGTGACAATATTTTGCAATTTCTTACACGAAAATGATTTTTATGTAGTCATTCTCCTTTTACTCATGAGTGTGTTGCTTGTCGTTTAGGAAAATCACAACATTTACCTTTTATGGATGCTAGTCATACTTTCTCTTTTCCTTTGGAAATTATTCATTCTGATGTGTGGCAATCTCCTATTTGTTCAAATTTGGGTTTCAAGTATTATGTTTTCTTTATTGATGATTTTTCCCGCTATACTTGGATTTTTCCCATGCGCCACAAGAGTGAGGTTTTTCTCCACTTTAAAAATTTTAAGGCTTTAGTTGAAAATCTTTTTAATCAGAAAATTAAGATTTTTCAGAGTGACGGGGGTGGTGAGTTTGTTAATAATAATATGCAGCAATTTTTCTCCGCTAATGGTATTTATTTTCAAAAATCTTGTCCTGATACTCCCCAACAAAACGGGGTTGCTGAAAGGAAGCATCGTCATCTACTTGAGCTCACTCGAACAATGCTGCTTGAAGCATCTGTTCCAAGTCAGTTTTGGGTTGATGCAATTTTTACCGCTGCATATATTATTAATAGATTACCTTCCCCTAGCTTACAGGGTCTTTCTCCATACCAAAAACTCTTTCACCGTGTTCCGGACTACTCTTTAATGCGCGTTTTTGGCTGTGCCTGCTATCCAAATTTTTCAGCCATGTCGGCTAACAAACTGTCACCTCGCTCTGTTCAATGTGTTTTTCTTGGCTATGCATCCGGATATAAGGGCTATCGCTGTTTTGATCCTAACACGGGTCGTGTCTATATCAATCGCCATGTTAGGTTCCATGAGGATACTTACCCTTTTCAGTCGCTCAAACGAACTCACACTTCTCCACAAAGCTCCTCCACCCCTTTTCCCATGCATCTCACAGATATCCCACCTCCACCGACTGCACAGTCATCATCCCGTCGTGACCCATCCAACCAGCCATCTCCTACATCTCCACTATATTCGAACCCTCGCTTGTCTGCCTCTCAGTCACCCAACCCGACGCCTTGTTCCACCCCATCGACACCTTCGTCCTCTTCCTCTCTTAGCTCGTCCGATAGGACAACACCAGACATTCTTGCCTCCTCTTATTCCCCTCCAACCGAAACCACTTCCCCCTTATCTACTTTGGGTGTGCCTACTACTGTAGTGAATAATCATCCCATGCAAACCCGAGCTAAAGCAGGTTTTTTTAAACCAAAAACAATTTTTACTTTGAGTACAGTTGTTAATTCTGCAGATCCTACTTGTTTTACTGAGGCAATTAAACACTTAAAATGGCGGGAAGCGATGGCTGATGAATTTAATGCGCTAATTAACAATCATACTTGGGAACTGGTGCCCTTTGACAATACTAAGAATATAGTTGGTTGTAAGTGGATTTATAAAACAAAATACCATTCTGATGGGTCAATGGAACGTCATAAAGCTCGATTAGTAGCTCAAGGATTTAATCAACAAGCAGGTATTGACTTTTCTGAAACCTTTAGTCTTGTCATTAAACCTACCACAGTTCGTGTCGTTCTTACTCTGGCTGTCTCGTTTGGTTGGGTCATTCGACAACTTGATGTTAAAAATGCCTTTTTACATGGTCATCTAACCGAAGAGGTATATATGCGTCAGCCTCGTGGCTTCACTCATCCTCAATTTCCTAATCATATATGTCGCTTGCGTAAGACCATTTATGGACTTAAACAAGCACCACGGGCTTGGTTTCATAGATTTAGTAGCTTTCTTCTGCAACATAATTTTGTCTGCAGTAAGTCTGATAATTCTTTATTCATTTATCGCCAGAATAATACTATTATTTATTTATTAGTATATGTCGATGATATTATTATTACTGGCAATTCTGAGTCTACCATTACCCAGTTTATTTCTATTATTTCTAATCACTTTGCTATGAAGGATCTGGGTAATCTCCATTATTTCTTAGGCGTAGAGGCTACTCGCCTCTCTAAAGGTTTGTTTCTTTCTCAAAACAAGTATGTTTCTGATCTTCTAGCCCGATTTCATCTCCATACAGCTAAACCTGTTCGCACACCGTTAGCTTCCCGTACCACTCTGTCTCTATCTGATGGTGAGTTACTTTCGGACTCTACTGAGTATCGCAGCATGGTTGGTGTGTTACAATATTTAACTTTGACACGGCCAGATATTACTTATGCAGTACACTTAGTGTCTCAATTCATGCATGCCCCTCGTACTACTCATTTTTTTGCAGTCAAGAGAATTTTCAGGTATTTACAGGGCACACGAGATCATGGATTATGGCTTCAGCGGACTAACCGGCCCACTTGTGTTCTTGCATATTCTGATGCTGATTGGGCTGGTTGTCTAGATAGCTCTCGGTCTACCACATGTTTTGCGGTATTTTTGGGCCCTAATCTGGTTTCTTGGAAGTCCAAAAAGCAGCCTACGGTGTCCAAGTCATCTACAGAAGCTGAGTACCGTGCCATTGCTTACACTGTCCAGGATACACTTCACATTCGTTCGATTTTGTTTGAACTCGGGTACGCCATCACGGAACCCGTACATCTCTTATGTGATAATGTTTCCGCATCCTATCTGACTGCAAACCCTATTCAGCATGCTTGAAGTAAACACATCCAGATAGACTATCATTTTGTTCGTGAACGTGTGGCTCATGAAGATCTGATTGTTAAACATGTTCCTACTCATTTACAGTTGGCAGATATTTTTACTAAGAGTCTCCCTACTCAGCGTTTTCATTTTTTGAATGACAACTTGTGCGTTGTTTCTCCCGCACAGCTTGAGGGGGTGTAATAGAATTATTATTAGATCAGTATTGTACTTTACATTAAACTCTCATTAATATAAATATATCTGTCAGGACTCCTTACAGAGTATTCTGTTCAATTATTCTCACACCTTGTTCATGCATGGTTGGAGGTTTTATACGGGTCAATGGTCTTTTTCACTTGAATTACTACCCAAAGATAGATATCATCTCAAACTCTACTTGCGTGTGATACTTTTTGCAAGTGGGATGGTGAAGGAAAGTGTACATTATTCAAGGCTTCCATGCATCCCCAACTATGTTTTGTGACGGAGGAGGGAAGGTGTTTGATCCATAAAATAACATGTGGGTTGAGATGTAAACGGGCATGAGTGAGGGTTTGCCCGTTAAGAAGTCGGGAATGAATTGAAGCTGAGTGCGGTAGTTTATGGAGAGGTGTGTGTTGGATCTTTATCTCCCTTTAGGTCCTGGTAGTGCAATGGTTAAAGTTTATGACTATGAAAAGAATTCTTAAGAATATATAGAAGGTGATATGCCCATATCTGATCTTATCTGTGCAATCTCGCCTTATCTGTTTGCCGAGTTTCTAAGGAAACTACATGTGATAACTGATGATAAAGTTCATAAAATCAACGTCCTACACGCTGATTGGAAACATCTATCTTTTGGAAGAATGGATGCAAATAAATGGAAAGTGATTGCCACTATGAATGTTAGCATCTGTCGGGCTGATTTTCTAAGAGGTTCTTGAGATGTGAATTTCCTTTTTCCTTTGGATTGGTTAGATCAGTGTTGAGAGTAATAGAGGAAGGGGAAGGTATTTAGACTAGAATGGCGAATAATATTTTTCATTCACTTGGCTCACAAATACAATGGATGGATGAGATATTTATAGGAGGGATTCTTAAGAGATCTAACCCTCCATATTCTAGACCTTTCACATTCCTAGACAATTATTAATCTAGAATAAATAAAAGGCTTTTCATATTTCTAGGCATTAAGTGAACAAGGAATATCAAAAGACTTCTAATTTAATTCTTCAAGTTTAATTTAATTATTATCCAACAATGCCTCCCTTAAATTAAACTTGCTTCTAACTCCCAGATTTTCTGCGCCTTTTTTGAAAACTTGTGCACTAAGTGGCTTTGTGAAAATGTCGGCTCTTTGATCTTCGGTCTTGCAATAGTCCACTTGAATTTCTCCTTCACTCACAAGTTCCCTCAAAAAATGATATCTGATGCGAATATGTTTTGTCCTCCCATGAAGAACTAGGTCCTTGGTAACAAAAATTATTGAACGGTTGTCACAGAACAAAGTGGTTGACTGGTTTTGCTTCTGCTTCAAACTTTCCAAAATTCCTCGTAACCAAACCAGTTGACATCCAGCATAAGATGCGGCGATATATTCTGCCTCCGTAGTAGAAAGCGCCACAATTGATTGTTTCTTCGAGCTCCATGATATCGCGCCAGTGCCAAGATGAAATACATATCCGGAAGTGCTTTTGCTCTCATCAATACTTCCCGCTAGGTCGCTGTCAGTATAACCGACAAGATTAACTGGAACATTTGCCTCATAAAAAATTCCATGATCAACAGTTCCTTTAATGTATCTCAAAATTCTCTTGGCAGCCTCCCAATGATTAGAATAAGGTTTTTCCATGAATCTACTCACCAGGCTAACAACGTATACAATGTCGGGCCTTGTGGTAGTAAGATACATCAAATTTCCAACCAAAATTCTATACAAAGTAGGATTAACAATCTTACCTCCTCACCTTCCTTGGATAATTTCAAACCAATGATGCATGGAGTAGAGACTGGATTAGCATTCTCCATCTTGAATTTCTTTAAAACATTTTTCGCATAGCTTTCTTGGGAAATGAATGTTCCCTTCTTACTTTGATGAACTTCGA